GTTATTAACACTGGTCTCGGGACTCTAACGAAGTTGCTACTACGAATGTGATTCAGTAACTACAACATAGCGTACGTTGTAATTTGTATCTAAAATGCGCTTGTTAGAATTTCGTGTTGAATGTTCGACGGTGACTAGCTTTTTAGTGTTACTATACCTTCAATTAATATGAAACTAGTATTGGGAGATAGAGCCGGAAGTTACAATAAACTTGAAATTAACATGTGAGCTGTAGCCCTCGGCGTCGTGCGATTTCCAAAATTAGATTCACGATGCGATATGTGTTGTTCCTTGCCCTCATAGATTGGTCAGTCAAAGTAGTAACCAATTTCGTGCTATTCACATTTAAGGAAAGTCCGAAAAACAAGTCTATGACTTGTCCGTCGATTGCTTGATAAGGTCTCCTGCCCTTTCTGCGACAGCGTACACAGTCGTCTGGATATTCCCCTGGGGTAGTAATGGAAATACGCTTGCATCAACCACGCGTAAGTTACGGGTTCCATGCACCTTCAAATTAGTATCCACCACCCCTCCTATCTCAACCGGCATCATCGCACAGGTTCCCGCGGGGTGAAAGGCAGGAGAAGAGACGGTCTTTAACCACTTCCTTGACCGCATCCGAGTTTGAGAGATCAGCTTTCTCTACTTCCGGAATCCGGATGCTTGGTTGGAGGAAGGACTGAAGAGGTTCGGTGTGTGCAAGGAGATCAATGAATTGAGTGTGTCGTGCAAGAATTTCGAGGTCCAACGGGTGGGATAAATAATTAGGGTCAAAGGTTGGCTTTTGTTGAATATCCGGGGACTTTGTATGAACAGACCCCAGGGAGAATGGGTGACTGAGCATCGCAACAATGGTTATATAGTTACCATCTGACGACTTGTCAAAAACATGGGCCATATCCTCAGCATCCGTATTTAGTTCCAAAGGAAAAAGTATGTACTCTGCTGTCGCATTTTGGCCGTCGAGAAGGAACTGACGAAGCAAGCTCAGTTGCTCTTTGTTTGTCACCTGTGGACAGTCTTGTAGGCTTTTGCCCCGGTCCAGTTTCAGATGCTGGTCCACGAGCTTCTGTATAGTCTCAACTTGAACCGGGTCCTGCCCATCCACGAGTGGCATATAGGCAACACTAAAAGGGATACCCGACGTTGGACCACTTCTGCTTTCTTGATGAATCTGGTGTAGGATTGCACGACCGGCGGATCGCGCATAATATCCGACGGACAATCACTCTCAGCCACTTTATAGCTTATAGGTGTAGTGCAATGGTCCTGTAGATTTTCACCAACCCCAGCTAGGTTTATAAGTGCGGGAATATTATGATCTTGCAGAGTATTGGAGTTCCCAATTCCGGAAAGCTCCAAAATCTGTGGAGAATGCAAACTACCGGCAGATAGGATCACCTCGCGCTGGGAGGTAGCTTCTAGAAAAGCGTTATGACTGCGGACCCGAACCCCAGTAGCTGTTAAGTGCTCGTCAGGGTTGTCACTCGCAAAAAGGATTTTCTCAACTTGAGTTTCTGTCCATAACGTGAAGTTCGGTCGCTGTGCCACCTCTTTGGTGTAATAAGATGCGGCATAGCCCCGTGTGCTTTCCTTTGTACTAACGGAGAGTGGGCTAGTGAAAGCACCCAACCTTTCGCCGGTGATGGGATCCGTATTGTCTCGCCAGCCCAGTGCTGCGAAAGTCTCATCCCACGCCTGGTTGAACGGACCGTAGACAGAAGGAAATCCCACTGGCAGAGGACCGTGGGAGCCTTGCTGGCTCTTCTTCATATACTCGTCGGTGCCAAGTATTCTCGCAGTGGATTCGTCTGGGCTTGTATAAGTTTGGAATTTTCGGAGGTACTGGCCCATTTCCTGAGCACCCCAGCCATTATTTCCCAGGGCTGCCCATGCTTCAAAGTCATGGTTTGACGGGTACATGACCATCGAAAAGTTCAGAGCTGATGAGCCACCAAGCACACGGCCTCGAGGTTGAGGAACCTTGAGTTCATTTACATGAACTTGGGCCCGCAGAGGAAGTTCCAATCCAGGTCGTTGTCACCATATAGAGATGTAACCAACCCTGTGTCGATGCGGGAATCGCCAATCCGATCACTGCCAGCCTCTATAAGAAGGACTGAGGTTTCTGCGTCTTCGGTCAGACGGGACGCTACGATGAGGCCCGCAGTGCCGCCGCCAATGATGATGTAGTCAAACTGAGGTGGTAAGGAATATCGGTGCATCATGTCAGTATGAAGACAGCTGTCTTGAATTCATATGTTATCGAAAAAAAATTTACAATCCAGAAGAAGAGAGTATTATGGCATTTGAAAGGTCCACTAGAAATATTTATATACATAGACTTTTGGAACCACATTTCCTCTTGCGGTGCCGGCCATACAGAATCAGCCAGCTTCTGAAGTTGAGCCAGGTCGATCCTGGATCTCCGAGGATGATAGGCAACGCGACCTACGTCAGATGTAGCCAACCTGCAAACGCATGCTCCATCCACCCTATACTTGAGGGTATCGATACCGTGTTCAAAAATAACTGGCGTCTTGGAAAGCAAGGTTGGGTTTTGTTTCCTACAGTTAGAATCCATGGATTTTATGGAGACTTACATAATAGCCTATAAAATTCATGAAAATAGATGCTGGGAGTATAAATGCTGCGACGTAGGCTGGGAAAACTACTATTTTTAGAACTAGAATATGAGGACCTGTGGGATTGACGCCGAAAATGACCGCTTTTGAGGCCAGAAACGGCTGCCTTTCCACCCGTAACTTTGGATGTCCAGCCGCTCCTTGACCGCCCACTGTCCTGTAACACCACTATTCTGCACCCGTCCAACACTTTTAGTCATCCTCCGGTCCTGATGTTGACGCTCGACTTACACAGTTGTTCCCCTCGTTTCCACTGGCGACCAAAACGACGCCGAAAATGGCTCCCCTTCAGCTAAATCTCCCCTCCCTTTTCGCCTAGTCTATTTGAGCGCCTATAAGATGCTTCGCCTTCCCCCCTTCCGGTGTCCTTACACCTCCCATTCTCTCATCCTCGTTGCCCACGCCTCAAGCCGACCTCGACGTTATCGTTTCCTATAACACAAATTTTCCACCCTAGTCCTTATATCTGACCTCCTCTATAGCACCTACGCCTATACGTCCGGCTCAAATGTTACGCACTGCAAACTGGTCACAGTTAGCCTTAGAGGTTTCCGGGTTATACTTGCCTGTATTTCTCAATCTCCAACGTCAACGATCTGTCTCTCAACCGTACTGTTGCCAACAGGCCTTACTGCAGATTAGGTCCTTCTGAGGGTATCGAGGAACGATGCCAGGTAGAGCGCTCAGTGGGTCTATACCGGAGTATTGGCCAACTGATGAGTGTTGCCAAGTTATAATCAAGTAATAAGTCACACTGGTAATCCAAAGGTAAACACAAGTAACAATGTAAGATTGAAGACAGAGAACTAAACTAGATACATGAATGAGTGTCCCTTATATATCTCTGCTTTCTACTCCCTAGTGTACCCCCCAGGGGTAGGCATTGGAGTCACCCGTATACTCCTGGATATACTCCTGCGGAGTAGACCATGGAGTCACGGTCACGTGATCTCGTACGTCCAGGCAGGTTGATCGACTGGTCCTGCGCGGCCCGTCCGTGCAACATGTGGGGTTACCATTGATTGGCAACTAGCATGTCTGCAACAATTAGTAGGATAGTTAAGGATACTTACTAGACCGTTATAATTAGGCGGTATAGCGAAAATATTAGTTGAGTGATGCTAGAAAGGGGTAACTACCTAGTAGTGATTATATAGGGTAATAGTTTATCCGTAGCATTTCTATATAGCTTTCGGTTGAATTATTTTCCAGCGGGTGATCCTCGCCGGCCAGCTCCTCAATTCTCGTTCCTAAAAGCTATAACGATAAATCCTTAGGCGCATTAACTATTGACGTCATAAGCGTTTACGTCAGCAGCGTGGGCCAAAAGCCCAGGAGACTTCGGTGAACCTTGGGACATTGCGGCAGCCTGCCAAGGCCCACTTCTCGTTTCCTGGGACTTATATTTATATTTTCCGCTCCCGGGAGCTGTAGGTCCCCTGGGAGCTAAGATTTTTACTCCTGGAAGCGACCAGGAGCGTGAACCTCAGTATGAGTGCTGGGGCAGGAGATGATCCCAGGAACTTCCCTGGAAACACAACCTGTGATTGGCTGACTGCCACTACGGTCCCCGCAACTCGGTTGCTACGCGAACCACTGCGCACCCAATTCAAATTCATCTGATCTTTCCGTGACCACGTGGCCGAGGAGTTTCATTACCTAGGACTCAGAATAAGCGGAAATCCTGCATATAGCCTTCTGGGGAATGATATGAGTCTACTCACAGAATCCGCATTCCAGGCATAGGCCTGTCTTAGGTCAAGAATGTCATTGAAGCCCTTCAAAACTTCTTCTGATTCTGCCATCTTGTGAGAGCAGAGCAATGATCAAGTCAATAGAGTTTGAGAGTCTTGTAACGCGGTTGGAAGGCGTGTATTGACGCGACATGTTTGGTGACAAGTTGAGGGTGGCTCGTAGAGTCACCTCGGACTTCGGTAATATACGTATTTTACCTGTAATGATACATCAAATCCCTAGAAGACTTTGGTAGATCCGGCGGACAGATCATCTGCCCGCTTTCCGCCTTCCCACCAGTCAGTTCAAGATTGCCATCTCCTGTCATTCTTCCCACACGCAGCACAGCCATCGTGTATCTCCGTACGCCCATCAGTCATCACGTAGAAGGCTGTATAGAGCTCATCTTGGCAGGGAGGGATATCAACTTTATCTCCATGGATTTTGCCATCTTCGCCGAGTCTCATTCCTTGCCAGTGATTATTCTAATCTGGCTCATCCCGCAAGCTAACATAGGCTTTCTGAAGATCCTGGATACTTTTTGGAATGAGTCGACGGACTTTGATAACCCCCTTTCTATAATTGGCCTGAAATATGAACGCCACAATTCATCGAATGAGGTACGAACGTCGTCCCGAAACAAGGCAAATGAGCGATCGGGAGCGTCAGATACGGCTGATTGAACGTCAAAAAAGGCTTCATGAGCGCCTTAACCGCATATCAGCAAAGAAGCCAGAAAGAAACTCTTAAATTTTTAGCTCGATCCTCGTACGAAATGGAATTCTAGTCTACTCACGTCAAGTATTCTAGTCTACTAGACTGCGCCCACCCCCGTGGGATAGGTCGACTATTGTGAAGCGACTTGTTGTATAACGGTCTCCGCTAACTTTGTCTAGCATTCTCGCAAGGCCGTGGTGGTCGAAGTTTTCCATAACGCATGCTAGGACTGCGAATTTCTCTGGACATACATTAACATTAGTGCTAATGAGTTCATGGGTCGCGACTGACCGGACTCTTCCATATCTGGAGCATCTTTGAAGCCCCATTCAACAACAGTGGGCCACCACTTAGGTTCCTCTTCCAGTCTCGATTTCACAGTGGCTTAGACCCAGTCATTAACAAAATCCCAACCGACGGCGGTTGGCCACCAATGTGGTTTGTTTTTCAACCTCAGTTTCGCAGTCGCCAAAAAGTGGTTGTAGAGAACTTCTCTATCGTTCGGACAGAGTGTTTGGAACCCCCAATAGTAATGTGGCGTTTCAATACGATATCAGCGCTGGACGGAATGGACCTCGACGAGCCTGAGATGTTTTCTTCAGTCCTGTCGGGCGGATGTACTGGGGATATGTATATATGATATGGCTAACACTTCTCAACAAATAAATTGACCGAAGTTCCTCCGATGTGGACAGTCAAGAGTCTCCCCTCATAACCCCGCAGCCCAGCCTGCATGGTCCACAAACGTAGAGCGTGCCACCGGACTTGGCCTGAGCCCGACCTCCGCCCCTACGTAGAAACCCAAATGAGTGTCTCCCCGGAGAAACCACCTGTATCAAATTAGCAACTCTGTATGGACGGGCCTTAAACCAAGCGGGGCCGAAAGAACGTCCCCAGCCAAAGAAAACCGTACTGAGTGGTGGATTAATCTGGTAGAGGCCGAGGGTCTGTGGGGGAATATTAATAGTCCGGAGGCTGCTTCGGCCACCGACGCCACGCCTCACGATGAGGACGGATGGATGCGAATGGTTACTTTCCAGCGGGGTTCATCGCCTTCTGCCCAAAGGCTCGTCGTTGTAATGGCTGGGCAGTCTTGGAAAGACACGGAGGAAGGTATATAAGAAGGGGGGGGGGGGGGCGATTGATCGTTACATCAATAGATCCAGCCAGCATCGAGAACCGAA